GTTTTATTTATACCCTTTTTATTTTTTTCCCTTTCCCTTGTAAAGGTGGAGGAGGAAGCAACAGACAAGGATAACAAGAACTGCAGTAAAGACAATATGTGCAGCAAGGTAATTGGGCTGAAAACAAACAGCATCTGTGCTCTCTGAGCCAGTCTGGCTGCTCTGCTGCGGATGTAGTGTCTCTCCTGCTTCTCTGCTCCAGTTCCTGTTAGCGTAGGACAGTGTCCTTTCGTAGTGGCTTCTCCTTGGAGGGAACCCGCAAAGTAAAATACCCTACCGCTGCTTTTCATGGGATAGAGATGACTTTGTGCTTAAAGGCCTCTTTCCTGACGGTAGAAACACGTGGTCCCGACTTGCCCGTCTCCTGGACTCTGCCAATCTTTGGATGACCCGGAATATGACGCTGCAGCTGATGGCTGAGATCCAAGCCGCGGCTCCCTTCGCCTCCCTGGAGGAGAGGGAAAGGGCGCAGTTGTTAAGGGGACAAACGTTTTGGCTCTGCGCTTCTTTTAAAGGACCAAAGACTTGATCCTGCAAGCCGCAGGCTAGTGGCGTGTGGTTTTTCTCTTTTGTTGTTCTGCAGCGGTGGAGCAAAGACCTTTAGGGATTGACAAATGCCGTTTGCGGCGCTGCTTTAATAGCAGGGAGCAAAAACACTTGTCTTGTAGCACCTTCTAAATGCGCCTCTCTCCTCCTGCTGCTCTCTGCCCGGCCATTTTCGCATTCAGCCCGGACAGGATTTAAAGCTAAACGCTTTAAATTGCTTCAAGATGCACCAGGAAGCATCTGTGAATGTTGCCTGCCTGTCTCTAGGATATCCCCTTGTAGGCTTTTATCCCAGCACCTTTGCCGTAGCGTACGCATCGACAAGGCTTGCAGAGAGTCATCTAACGCTGTAATGCCCTGGCGTGGTGGTGTGTGCCAGGAGCTGCAGCCTCTGCAGATGCCTCTCTGCAAGCCGGAGGCTCGTAGCATCCTCCGTGGGGATGCAGACGTGCCGTTCTGCCACCGTGGACCCAGCGCTTTGCCGTACTCCCACCTCAAATTTTTACTTCTTTGCTCAGGCATCGGAAATCGCTGCAGGTTATTTAACTTGTAAGAGGGAAAGCGCAGTTGTGTGTAGTGAGGCTGAAAGTTGTTAACCCCAGCGGTACTGGTAGGTGCTTCTCTCGGGTAGGAGTTGTGTTGTGTTGGCTAGAAAGCGCTGGACATCAAAGAGGGCAAGAGCCCCTGTCTGACTGAACAGAAAGCTGTAGCAGACTGTGTGGGATGTGTCACCCGTTCAGGAAAGAGCCGTGAAACGCGGGGGTGTGGGAGCCTCCCGCCCTGTGTAATACTTCCTCTGCCAAACAGATCCTGCACGATAACGCTCCCCGCGATCGCGCTGGGGTAAACCCTCTAGTCCCAAAACACCGAGCGTGTGCTGCATGGGGCGTATTTGAGGAAGAACAGGCAAAGGCTTTGTGTGCGCAGTCATGCGTGTGTTCTTGTATTGCCCCTTCAAACTTAAAAGCAGGTGTTTGATGTCTTCTCTACAAAGCCTGGAGACACAGAGAGGGATTTGCTCGTGCCGTTCGCAGGTGAACGGGGCGGCTCTGCAGAAACAGCCGCAGCTCGCCTTAGCCGTGCTGGGGCTCTGCTCCCCTTCCCCTCGCTCAGGGCGAGCCCCCAGGAAGGGACTGAGGATTGTCTGGCTCTGGAGGTTAAACGGCCTCGTTCGGCAGTGGGCTGGAGCCGGGGAGCTGGTGGGTGAGTCGGGAGAGCTGGGGGGCAATGGAAGAGCTGTGCCCGGAGCTGCTGGCTCCCAGGGACTGCTTAAAAGTTGTCCCTTGCTTATCCCCAGCAGCAAGTGAACCGGTTTCCCTCCAGGGAGGAGGGGAAGGCGGCGGTCAGGGCGGCAGACCTCCCTGGGAGGATTTGTTGCAGTCGGCACAGCCGTGCCACGGAGCGAGCTGCGAAACCAGACTCTGGGCTTCGCGCCGCAGCCGTTGAATGCAGCAAAAGCTGCAAGGAGCAGCCTCTGCCGTCGCGTCTCCCCTCCCCAGGCCCCACACCTCGCTGCAGCCCCAGCACCCATCGAGCCACGGGGAGCCATGGGAGCCGAGCGGCCGCGGCTCGTGTGCCAGCCCGGCTCGCGCGGGCGCAGGAACCGGCTGTGGGTTGCACTGGGCTCGGTTCTGCTTCCTCGCGGGCGCAGGAACCGGCTGTGGGTTGCGCTGGGCTCGGTTCTGCTTCCTGCCGGGGCCGCTGCTCGAGGGCTCGTCAAGGAGCGGCTCGCAGCGCTTGCTGAGCATCGCCTCTTCCCCGCAGCCCGTGACGTCTCTTCCTGGGGCCGCGATAATGGATCTGGAAATGGAGACCAGGGGAATTGCTTTTCCTTCCCTCTTAAATCGGTTGTTCCTCAGTACTAAACATCCCATTACTTCCCTGCCAGGGAAATAGATTTTTCTCCCATTCAGTTTTATATGTGTCTGCATGATTTCACTTGGTATAACGAGAGAAGCCCTTGGCTGCAGCTCCTGGGTGGTGTCTCCCCTGGGGTGCGCTCCGTGGATCACTGCCGCAGCTCCCACCACCCCCAAAACTCTCTTCGGGGCACGGTGCTGCCTGTTCCTACCGATCCCATCACCAGCGCTAGGGGAGGGAAGGTTGATTCCAGATCAGGAGTATTTCTGACCAGTCGCTTGGCAATTTTCTCTTCCCAGCGTAAAATAAAAAGATTGATGGAATTTGGCAGATACTTTACAGATATATTTAGTGCTCTGTAAACTGCTGACTTGCCTCCCAAACCGCAGATGCTGGCTGATAACGCTGGGTGCGCTCAGGAAGAACAGGTTTGAGGCTTAGCCGATCTGCCGTCTCGCCGAGAAATAAAAGCCCAGCTCTTTGTTGGACCCTTGTGGTCCCCGCTGCTCGGGCCGGGCACTTAGGGGACGCGGTGGCCCTGTTGCGTCCCTTCTCAGGAGGGGGCTGAGGTGCGCACAGCTCCGTGGAGGATGAGGCTGGCTTGCTGCAGGTGACAAGCTCCGTTTGGGGATGTCGGGGTGGCTCAGACCTTGTAGGTGAGGTCGTGGGAGGGAGACGGTGCTGTGGGATGGAGGGCAGTCACAGGTGACCCCCATGACCAAGCCGGGGCAGGGGGGGACGTGGGGAAACAGCTCCATCCTCCTTTCACGACAGCGGAGCTGCTGCTCGGAGTGGGTTAGCTCTTGCAAGCGTAATTTGGGTTATTTGCAGCCTCTGGCCCTTTTCTAGAGGGAGGGATGCTTGTGGGGCCGGGAGAGAATGGGGCTTCCTGGGGGGATCCGTCCAATTCCCAGGGCTGCTCCTGGCCTCCTTCCTGCCCTCCTTTAATCTCCTGCTCGAGCTTCAGCCGTGGGGCTGAGCCACTTTCCTGCGGGGCGTTATTTGCCTTCTCATCTGCGCGGGGAGGATTCATTAGTGCCGGAGAGTAGCGGGGATGTGCTGGATCAAGGGTTCCCAGCAAGCGCCGTGGCTCTCCGGAGCAGCAAACCCCAGGCAGGAGGTCCCTGGTGCGTCTGAACCCTCCACTCGGGGGACTCCCCCAAAACGCGACGGGCATCCTTGTGCACGGCGCATCCCCGCGGCATCCGCTGGGACCGCTCCGGTCCTGGCTGGATGAAGGTGTCGCTGGGAAGCCAGAGGATGGAGGGGGGCAGCCGGGAGGGTGGCCAGCACCCTGGTGTGATGCAGAGGTGGGCAGAGCAGGCTGGTTAGATCATCGTGGGGCTGCTCAGTGCTGAAGTGCCGAAGGGTAACGCCAGTGAAACCCTGCGGGAGGATAGAAGTGGGGCTGACGGTGGGGATTTCTGCCCGGGGCGGGGTGGGGGGGTACTTCAGCAGCCCTGAAGCCGGCAGCGGAGATGGGGTCCTGCGCCGAGGACATGGGAGCACGCAGGTGGGATGCGTGGGATGGTGCAGGACTATCCCTCGCCCTCTGGGATCTTCTCCCATCTGGGATCAGAGCTGGCCCAGAGAAGGAGGGCAGCAAGATCATCCCGGCTCAGCTTGACCTGGCGGGTGGCTCCCCTGAGCCCAAAACCTGCTGCTCGGTCAGGGCCACAGCAAATCCCCGTCTAGGAATGGCTGCCTAAACCCCCTCTGCTCCCGTAAGACCTGGCTTTCCCCAGCTAAGGCATCCGCCCTGTGGGAGCCCTTAGCACAGGGACGACTCGCAGCCGTGCGTGCGGGGTAGATCCTCTCCCCTCCTGCCGTCCCGGTTAACAGCCGGGGGCTCGCAGCGGGCCGGGATGCGGCAGCGGGGAGTTAGAGCCCGGGGCGAGCACTGGGGACCCGAGCCGGGATGCAACGTGCATCGGTACTGGGAGGGCTCCTTGCTCCCGGAGCATCCCTTTGGGGGGAACTCTCGGAGACGTAGGATGTGGTTTGGCTGCGAGCCCCTTCCTGCGGGAGCTGGCTCCCTGCCCTGCCACCTCCCCAAGCCTGCTCAGGCGCAGCCCGGGGGTCGTTGCCGGTAGGGTCGAGGGCTGTCGGGGCGGAGAGGGGTTCGGGGGAGCTGCAGGTGGTTTGCCGGGAGGACGTTCGCCCTGCAGCGAGTCGCTTGCTTCGTGCGGTGTCCGTGCTGGGACCAGGAGCGGTCCCGGGCTCTCAGGCTTGGGCTGGGGACAGGCAGACCCCCACGGGTCACCCCCCCAGGTCACCCCCCCGGTCCCTTCTGCGCTCACAGGGCTGCGGTGTAGCTTGGCAGGAGAGTCGAACCCAGCCCTGCCCGAGTGACATCGCGCTTTTAATGTCCTTTTTCTTCTCTTTCAGAATATCTTTCAGATGGTCAGGTCACAGCAGAGGGACGCGGCCACTTAGCCCCTCGTCACGGAAGAACGTAACCCCCCCCCCCTTCCCCAATTAACTCTTAAAATTCTGTTATTGTATTAAAGCCCTTAAACTAAATATTATTAATAATAATACCATTTGTGAACTTCATGTTTATGGAATTAAGCAACTAGGATAAATGGCAGGCTCGGCCAAGAAAAGAGGGGAAAACAGTGTTGGATGGCAGAGGAACCGCCCGAGGGTGTTCTGTCTCTTCCTTCCGCTTGGGTCCTGTTCCAGAAGATGGACTGTTATTGTATTAAAGCCCTTAAACTAAATATTATTAATAATAATACCATTTGTGAACTTCATGTTTATGGAATTAAGCAACTAGGATAAATGGCAGGCTCGGCCAAGAAAAGAGGGGAAAACAGTGTTGGATGGCAGAGGAACCGCCCGAGGGTGTTCTGTCTCTTCCTTCCGCTTGGGTCCTGTTCCAGAAGATGGACTGTGCTTTTATTTTTTACAACTGGAACTAGAAACGTCATCCGTTTGCACTGTTCAGACATATGTATGTATGTATGTAAAAAAAAAAAAACAAAACAACCAACCGCCCCTAAAAAGCTATATATACAAATACCGTGCACGTATATACATATATATATTTCTTTTAAACTTTCATATCGGTGGCAGTACCTTTTTTAAGCTTGCGTTTTTACACGCATCTCTCCTCCCAACCCATCGTCTTTTTTTTAAAAACTAACTTCAGAGAAAAAAAAAAAACAGAAAAAAAAGGAGGAAAAACAAAAAAAAAAGAAGCAACGTTACAGGGAAATACCTCTCCTGGCACAAGGACCTCTACACGTTTACAAGCTCTTGACTTTCTTTTTTTTTTTCTTCTTTTTTTTTTTTTTCTTTTTTCCTGTGTTTCGGTTCGGTTCTGGGTATTTTCACGCGGACTTTGAGCGACTGTGGGGGACGTCCGGCTCCGGGAGCGAGGGGAGCCCAGCGGCGCGGCCGGCATGGGAATCTTGCAGGTTCCAGGATCCGTCTCCTCG